TAGTTCTGTCTCAGCCGAACCAGGACACCTTAGTCTGCTGTTCTGCCTTACTCAGTGAAATACCACTACAAAGGTCCCCCTTCTCCCATAAGGAGAGCAAAGCTCTTATGCAAAGCAGGCTTCTGGCTTGTGGTTTTGTCACTTAGATACTGAATTTTTCACACTAGCCCTTTGTATGGACGCTAAGCAAAGAAGTGAGAATGTGCGTTAGCCAGCAGGAGAAGTCATCTCTTTTGCTAAAGCTGCGCTCTCGGAGCTCTCCAGCTCACCCAGCCCAAGCAGGCACAAAGGGAAATTTGAATGGAGCCCCACGGCAGAGTCCCAGGGAGCCCTTGCTCCAGCTGGGGCTCACCCAACCTCTGCTTCTGCGAGGGCTGGATCTCATGCAGGGGCCCCCTCTCCCCGCTTGTTTGCAAGTTGAGGCAGCAGCCTCTGGCTCCAGACCAGTGCGGTGGAGCCTCACGTTGACTCTTTAACTGAGCAGTCAGCAGAGGTGTTACAACATTTTGGTTTTGCTACAGGGAAACCGAAGAATTGAAAGCTCATCTAAGATGGATGAAGGAAGACTGGATTGAAGAAGAGTGTAATCGTGTGGAGGCAGAGCTGGCCTTCTGGGAAGCAAGAGGGGAAATTAGAGAACTCAGGCAGGTTCTTGAAAGCATGAAAAACAGCTTGGCTGAGAAAGACGGAAAATTTCGGAAGTACTTCCTAGACGTAAGCATTGAAAACAAGAAATTGGAGTCTTTGCTGCGAAGCATGGAGATGGCTCAGAACAGCTCTGTGAGAGGTGAGCAGTGCCTGGAGTACACGTGTGGCTCGGACGGGAAGCTGTTAGCATTGTGTGCCATGATGCCAGGCAACCTGGTCACAGAGGACCGAGCTCTGGAGGAGCTGGCAGATGGTGGGCTGCTGCTCATTGAGGGCAGTGCTAATGGGACCAATTGATCTGAAGAGAGTTTGATCACTGCAGCCTCCAAGTTGAGTGATGCAGCTCCCTCCACTTCTGCTGTGAATCCAGAGATGCTGGAAGATGTTGTGGGTGAAGAACTGACTTCTTGCCAGGAGGAGGAGAAAATCAGCAATGTGGGGGTGGAACAGACCGTCCAGACTGACGTGGTGCCGTACAGCTCAGATGTGGAGCAGCTCATTCAGAACATCTTCAGAGCTCAAGGTCCCTATCCTCTAAGCCCACCTTCTTCACTGGAGGAATTGGGTGAGTTTTCCCTTAGAAGTGTCAGCGGTTCTGGGATCACAGTGGACTTAACTCCAAGTGATCCAAACACTGCCGTCCTTTTGTCTCCTGTGGAGTCTCCATGCATGAAGATTGAGCACAGAGTTAACAAAAATCATTTTATGAAAGAACTTGATTTTACAGAACCTCATGATGATGAAACCTTTGGGGATGTCAAGACTTTCTCTGAGACAGGAATAAAGAAGAGATACTGGAGCAGCAGTCTCCTCAGAGGTCTTCTGGCTGTAGCAGCCCCTGTTGTACCAACTCTCCTGTGGGCTTTGAGTACTCGGGGAGGAGGAACAAATCCTATTTACAAGATTGGAGTATTGCTTTGTGGTTGCTGCCTGGTGGCTCTGCACTCTTTGCACCATTCAGCCTTCAATATCAGAACTTAAGGTCCACTCTGTCCCTGGGCACCAGCCGACTGAGGCAGGGAGAAAGAGGGAGGAGAGAGATCATAAAAAGTTATGGCACATTCTGGCAGAGTCCATCATTTTGCTCTTGGCTCTTTGATTTGCACTAGAAATGGGTTTGAAAACATGTTCTTTGTTTCAGAATGAAAAAGCTGAACCCTGTAGTTCCACAAGATGTTTTTAACTGGTGTCTTTAACAGTCCTGCTGCCTACGGAAATAGCCCTCCTGCTCCCAGGCACTGTGTCCCTCCCCTGTGTGGGTGTCTTTCTGGTGCCAGCGCATCTGCCCAGTGACCACGACCAGGGAGCTCCAGGAGAATTACAGCTAGTGCTCTTTCGTGGGTGTTTACTGGATTAGCATTAAGCTGACTTGGTTTCCTTGACTGGTTCACTGAGCAGAGGTCCAAGCGCTTTGCTGTGGCTCAAGGGGAGCACAAGATGTGCATGGGAACAAATGGCCAGAGGGAGGTGGGATTATTTCTTTAGGCAACGCATCTGTGAAAGTACAGGGTTAAGAGAGTGATGTGGAGACTCGTTCCCACTAAGGGTATCACACCTGTACTCCAGGAAGCATGCTAGTGCTTTCCATGTGTTGTCCAAAGAGTCAGTTCAATTTAGAGGGGAAACCCATATTCCCCAGGCAGCTTCCAGCACCTCGTTTGTGCCTCTCTCGTGAGGTGCTCTTCTCCATCATACAATTGCTGGAGCCTTTCACTGGTCTTGTGTGTATATGGGGACTGTAACCAAAAATGTATGTTGTTGGGAGTCTTGAAACGTGTTAGTATATATATATAGTATGTATAGTGTAGTATGTATAGTATAAGCTTTAAGTATAGTATTAGTTAAGTATAGGTATGGATACGCTTTGAATATTAATGTTGTTTTAAAGTCTTAATGTATTGGAACCTGATAGTCATTCGAGCCCTTTGAGATGCTATGTATAAATGTATTGTGTTTTAACTTACTGTTTATTTAATTACTTTATTGTCAATTACTTTCAGAATCACAAGTTCCGTAAAGCACGTTAGAGATGTTAAATGTGTGTGAGTGGTTTTTTTGTAGCAAAGCTATAAAAAAATACCTCGTCTGGGCTGAGCTCTGGGGCACAGGCAGAGCTGGCTTGCCTTATGGCACTACTGCAATACAGAGTTGCCCAAAGATCACTTTCCAAAGCTTTTTCTTTTAAGTACATGGGCACAAGGGCCAAAATTAATTGTTTGTGGGGTGGGTGGGCGTTAATGTAAATTTTACACAACCATGGAAGTTCATCATTCCTAGACATCTCCTCTTGGGCCTGGAACACATGACAGAAAATGCCTTATTCCTGCTTCCAAGTATGTCTGTTCAAGGCCAAGGGAGCCATATTTTATACCTGCTGTTAGCAACTTTATTACAATTTTGGATTTCTCTTTTACATCTATTGTTTAAGTGATTTTCACTTTCAGTGGTGGTGAAACAGAGCATAACTGAGAGAAAAAAGTGGTCTATGGGAGACATTCACCTGCGACTACACGGATTGCTTTGGCAGCAAGCAGGCAACAAAGCCCCACAAACCTACACTTACATTTAACATTTCAACGGGCCAAACTCATTTCAAACCATGTTTCAGGCAGGCTCCACTCAGCAGCGGTGTTTTCAGACATGCTGTTTAAGACATAAGGCGCTAATGTCCAAGGTGCTTCCTGCCGTTAAAAATCTGTCTGCTCAGCTCTCAGAAGACATTTAACTCTGCTCAACAAGAGGTGACAGAGTTCTCATCCCATTCTTCATCAAAGTCCTTGTTCTGATTGCTCCCCAAAATTCAACTCACTTCCAAGCCTCCACCTTTCCTTCTCCATGCTGCAAGGATGTGGGCAGTGCCAGGTACCCTTTGTAAGAAGAGACCTCAAGTACCGTGATAAATGCTCCAGTCCCAGACATTGGGGAACTGGCCTTTGTTCCCTGATGCACAGAGGAGTTGCCCATTGTTGCTACAAACGTACCACCTTGATTCTTTTCCTGTCTAATGTTTGGCTTTATTCTTAGTCCTGTCTCCCCTGGATCCAGCTGGTGCTGTCCGGAGTAGCTAGGGGGGGACCATCAGCCTCCAACCAGTTCAATAAAAACTCCTCTTGTTTTTTTCCTGACTTGAGAAAGTACTCATACCCATACCCGTACCACACGGGAAAGTCTTGCCCCAAAGTGTGCGGGTGGGGAGGAGAAGCAGCTTGTAGGCTAAGAGTCACGTAGCAGGTGTCTGCTTGAAGCAAGGCTTACAGGGTAGCACAGGACCCAAGTCAGCTCCTTCCCAGGCAGAAGCAATGCCTGTTGTTCATCTCATCACGCATTTGTCTTTCTAACCCAGAGATGAAAAAGCCTTTCTTGACTGTTCAGCTTCAGCGGTACCCGACACAGCCCTAAGCTACCAAAAACGCTGAGGCACAGGCACTGCCCACCTCCCCACCAGAGATTCACCTGCACCCTTGCTTAAGTCCACCCTCTCACAAGGCTCTTCTTCACTTCTGACTACTTACTCATTTCTCCTTCCTTCTGCCCCCAAACCAACTCCCGCTCCTAAAACTTCCCACTTCTGGAAACTTAAATCTTTTTCCTAGGCTTGAGCCGTTCATTAGGAGTGTCTTTCCATCAACATCCTTGCTCAATCGCTTTTGTTGCAAAGAAGGCTGCTGAAATGGAACTATTACAGGAAACACCATTCCATCAAGGCATGATTTTCTGTGGCTTTTTTTCTCCTTTAAGAAGCACATACTAATAGTTCAAGATAATTGAGGAGAATCCTGGCTTCCAAGATGACCTGAAGAATGCACTGAAACCAAGCAGTGTGTTGAAGTCCTAGAAATACTTCAACGAATACCGATATGTCTGGTTTTAGAGCTGAAATTCTCTTTTTTTTACTGGCACTGCCACTGCTGCCTGGTTTCTGTCAGGACAGTTTTACACCAATTTTGGTTTGTTCTTTTGTCATTAGCCTTTGGGTCTCTTTCTCCATTTTCTTTCGTTGTTGCGCTGCTGCTCTTTTTTGCTATTCTGCTATCTTTCATTGTCTGTAATTAAAGAAAACATGAATTGCTAAAATCCAGGAGTCTGAATTTCATCATAGTCATACTATGTCATAGTCCCTGTCAATAAATAGGTTATTCTAACTAATAAAAACAGAACCTCAGCCTACTGGAGTTGGGCTCATAACAGTTATTCTTTTATTGTGCTGAAATTCTTTTCCCAGATTAATCTGGGTTTAGGCAGTAATATTTGTCCAAGTATTTTACAATCTAAAAGCCACTCAGTTCTCAAAGATTGAGAGTAAGTGAGAGTGTAGGACGGTTATAGAGCCTAGAGCTATTTAGAAAAATTTAGTAACAAGATTATCCATCTTTTCAAATTCAGACCAAAACAATTGAACTTGTCTCAAACATTGACTTGTACCCCTCCTTTTCCTCAGCAGAGATGTCAGTAGCGATCCTCTTTGTAATGCACGTGATACAAACACTTTCCTCATGATCAGATGAGATGATAACTTCTAATATTCCCTTTCACGTGTTCAGGATCGGTGTTGTTCTCTATTGTTCAGTACAAATACAAACAACAGCCTTTAAGGAAATAAAAAAAATATTAAAAAGTCTTCAGTTGTGTATCCTTTTTAGCATTATTTCTTCTCACCGCTACAAAACCCTGCCATCATTGCCTGCTAGCTCAAAGAAACTGTCTACAGAAATAGCTTTCCAGTTTCAACAAATACATAGCTGACCAGAGGGAAGGAAAACACCAACAGAAAAATCCACTCCTTTTATTCCCCCACTTCAGCTAGAACACCTCTCTGAGTGACACAGGGGCAACAACTGGATCTATACTCCAAGGGGCACATTGCAGCTCCCTCCTGTATTGCCCAAGTAGGAATGGAATGGCATAAGGAGGTCACTCCTGCTTTGCATTCAGTTTATTAGATATGAAAAATCTGTCAAGTTGCTGGCAAGAGGACTTAAAAATAAAAATGACCTTCATTAATTTGAAAAGAGGAAATTTAACATAGATTCAGTAAGAATAAAGAATTGCTTAGATTCCAACTATGGACAAACTGGGCACACAAAACTTAGAAATGTTGGACCTACGAAGACTACATATTATCTTTGTATTGGACACAAGAAGGACTGCACTCATTCAATACCTCCCTGGTTTCCCTTGATTGATTTCTCATGGCTAGAAGTTTCCCTATACTTTATTAAGCTGCTCTGTTGTCTGTCATGGAAGAATGAAATTAGTCATTCCCATAAGGATCTACCTCTCACGTTAAGGGAAATCCCAGCTTTTTATTGAGACCATGACCCGCTGTTCTACATTCCACCAGAAGGCCCAATAGGTGACAGTGCTGTCAGTCTAGCACATGCTGAGTAATAATATTTGCTGCTTTACAGTAGCAGATTTTCTTCTATTCCCCACACCTCTGAGCTGAGGCAGAGGGAAGATGCTATAGGTACCCAAGCCGGCGTGTAGAGCCAGTGGAGGTCCAAAAAGCCACATGAGGTATCAAGCAGTGCTGCTATTCATTTGCAGGTCTGCAGTGCGGAAAGTCCTAGCAGATCATGTTCCTTTCCCCCCCACGAACTGGATGACACAGCACTCCTCTGCACAGAGAAGTGGTTTCCATGCGCTCTACTGGTCAAGTCATTTTATTGGACTCCAGTAGCACCCACATGAGAAGAGACCTTCACATCACCTCAGGTAGAGGAAATGACATCACCCAAAACTAAATACAAGTAGCTTACCACAAAGTGATTACCTTTTCACTGCTCTTTTACTTGGCCGATATTCCAAACAGTGATCTCTCTTCCAAACTTCTTACATGTGTTCAGAATAAAGTTTCAGGCTCAGAAAGGTTTTGTTTCTCAATAAAGAGGAGCCTATGATGAACTACAGCCATATCGGACTCACTTTGTCTGGGTTCCAAAGCAGGGAATTCAGCAGAGTTTGGATGGAAGGATGTAAGT